TTCAAGTTTACTGTTAACTGGTTCTTATACCGATGTTTTACTATGAAATTTGTTAACCTGGAATGTAAAGCAAAACTGTAATCCCTTAAATCTTATTTACATGTGTTTATTTATAGTCTGCAGTATATGGCAGTAAATCGAAGAAAGAATTATGTACACTAAATTAACAAAAAATGCAGCCCCAAGTGACTTCCTGATTTCTCCAGAATAACTCATGAAAATCGAGTGAGGTTTAGTCTTAAAATAATCAGTTTTAATTCAGAAAACTTTCGGCTGTAGAATAATCAAGCCTGAAAGAAGCAGCAGTTAAAACTTGTTTTATTGATAGAATGGAATTTACTACATTTTACATATGCTTCATGCAATGAATTTTGCATGTTTAGTAACAACTCTTAATAATAAGGGTTAATAACAAGCAGATCTATATTGTTGACATAATCGCATCAAGCATAAAGAGTATTATAAAAATTTTCTAAAACAAATTGTGCTTTATTTGTGAAAGTTCTTGTTCTGAATGACATCATTTAGATTTAGCTAAATGTTTTATTGCTACTGTTTTGGTTTTTACTCTAGGTTTTGGATATTGCTAATGGCTTAGGGTATAATCTCCTTTTTTAAAAGTAGATCTCCTTTTAAACAATAATTGCTACCTGCAGGTTTTATACGAGGTTCAATTAGGCTTTCATTTCACATCTGCTTATTACTTACAGGGAAGGAAATAGACTTGATTTGCAATGATGAACACTGTAATTAATGCGATCTTCTCCTCTCCTATCACTTAGATAAAAAATTTTTGATATTTCCTCTTACAACTTACCAGAAGATATTAATTCAAATATCAGTAAATATTTTTGGTGCATATTTTGGTTTTGTTACAGCATGTAAAATAGTTGTCCGTGCGTTTTCCTTTTTTTTTTTCCCCTTCTGCCTTGTTACTCTTAGCAGCCATAGGCACTTTTTGTCTGTCAGATGTGCATGACGATGCCAGAAGCATGACGTCTCTGTTGCTGCATGCAAACTGATTACAATTTTTCCAGCATGTAAACATATTCAAAAAGTCAGATATTTGCCATAAAAGACTTAAATTTCTACTAGAATATGTAACGGGATGGGGGGGCGGGGTGGGAAGGGGGGGAATCTACTTTCTAATCATCTTTTCTGACAATAAAATGTCAAACCTGTGCCAAAAATTCTGTTAGCAAGATCCAGTCCAGCGAAGTGGGTGGGTTTGACTGACAAGGGTGACCCGTGGTGGAGTGGGACAGTTTTTGAGTGAAACACACTTGGATGTGAGCGGCTCCTGCACCCCTGGCTCCCCCCAAAGTCATGGTTTTGGTGCCCGGGACGTGCGATTTGTGACACTCCAGAGGTTTGGCTGTTGCCCAGTCTCAGTCCTCTTGAAGCCCCAGCTCTGAGTGAGGAGCAGGAGAAAAATTTTAATGAGCAAACCAGCCCGTTCTGACACGCGGCTAACGAGGGGCATTGACCAACTAACCAGAACTCAGATTGTTGCCTCAATAAACAGAACTCAAAATTTTCCAACTGTTTTAGGAGTAAAATTTGTAAACTATTCTGTGTCAAATGTGTCATCAACCAACACTGGGAGTTCATTTTCTTGTTTGTCTATTATATATTTTAAAAATCATGGTATTTACCATAAAGCATGAGGACTAGTGCAGCATTCATGACTCTTTATGTTTTTCTAAATATCATTAGCCTGCTGCAGTTTAGGAAAATCTGGGTAACATGCCGTAGAAGAGAATAGATTCAACAGGCTACTGAGGCTCAGCTTTTGAATAAATAAGGGGCTCTCAAGTAAGTAAATCTGCTGAGAGGCAGCATTCCGTGTGTTTTAAGAATGTGAAGTAAAAAAAAAAAGAGACTTTTGTAAAAGGAAAATGCAGGGAGAAATACCAGCGTGCAGGTTTTTGCAGGAAGCACAGCAGTAGTGGGGGCAGAACTGAACCCAACCAGAAACAGGCAGGAGATGCCACGGGTGGACATTGCCACACGGTTCTGGTTTTCCTGATCCTGCAGGGATGTCCCATTGCGGGTGGTTGTTGCTGGCAGAGCTGTGAAGGACATTGCTGTCCACACCAGAACACGGCATGAAAGAGCTGGTCCAACATCTGGAGAGAGCTGCTCATGTTCTGGCTACTTATAACCAATTTCTTAGGCATTTGCATTTGCTCCCCAGTTTTTCTGATGTAGAAGCAGAAATTCCTCTTTAACGTTGTTACCTCAAGTCCCTGGGCTTGCGATATCCCACGTCATCATCTGTAGGTGTCTGTAACGCTTACGAGAAGGTACTGGGAACTCATGGGTCCTGTGGAAACAAGACAGGATTGTGTAAAGCAGGGATTGAATATTTGTGTTACTCCTCGCTGCTCTGCCTAATGCCTGATTGTTTATCATCCAGAAATTTATAGTGACAAGTAACACCTTACATATCCAGCAAATACCATAATTTCTTTTTTTAAATACAGGTGTTATTTCTATATTTTTCATGGGATCTGGCTTTCTAGAGAACATGTATCAACAGAGGGAGAGGCATTAGAACTACTTTTCTTCCACTTCTGTTCAATAACAACCGTAATCCAAACACCCACGTTATCACAAAGATTTCTAAAAGTAAAATTGAAAATTCTAATGCACTGAAGCTAAGGTGGAAGTTTTGGGAGCAGTGTTTCCATCTCACGTGTGCTCAAGTCCTGAGGGGCTCCGGAGCAACTCCATTCCTGCCAGGGGAGGCACAAGTCTGCCACATAAAACTTCCAAGCTGTTTTCAGGTATTAATTGGGACTTAACTGGTTCCTAGGCAAATTTCTTTATTATTCAGGCATCTGGGTGTCTTTGGCCACCTTGGAATCACCTCAGCAGGGTGGTGGGTTTCCGGAACAGCCACTTTGCCTGCCAGCCAGTCCCAGTGCTCCTAGCAGGGATTGCACATATGTGAGAAGGAGAGAGCACGTTCCCATAATAAAATACTCCCCCTTAATCCAATTTAGAGGAGAAATAAAATTTAGCTTTCTGATCCTTTGTTCTTTCCAGAAAATACAATTGGATTTCCTTTTACAAACTGAAGAAAGTTCTTCTGGAAATCAGCTGTTAGTTTAAAAGGAACTCATTGTACCTAAATGCTGTTGGCCTTTGAGATCCATCCTGTCTTTTGGGGTGAATTCAATTGAATAATGGTGGGCTCCTGTGAAATTAATAAGGTCAAGTGAGAGAAGAGTTTGTCTTCTGGCGAGAAAGATGACATGTCCAAGGGCTGGGATTGAGTGACACCACTTGCAAAGTCTGTTTGTTCAGTCCGGATGCAATCCCAGATAAATGCCATAGGAGACGTATGCAGTTAGCAGAGGGAGAAGATCCTCCTTATTAAACATATAATTGGAAATAATAATGATCCAATAATCAAGCTTTGATATGAGTAGAAAGCATATTTACAGTATTGAGTTTACAGTGGGCTTTCTGACCTGCCACAAAACTTCTGGAAACGTTTAATGTGATTTTCACTTCTTGTAGTCGTTACCATAAGTTATTGTACATAGGTTTTGTCTCTTTGCAGACATGAGCGTTGGCTGGAGGTGATGTTACCTGTTCTATTGATGTTACCTGTGTTATCACATCCTGTGATACCTCTGTTCGGTGGGTAGGCACCGAGCTGCGAAGTAGTAAAAAAATAGACAAGCTAAAGCACTTTTTTTTTCCTCAGCTCCACACTCTTAGATGGGCTCTGAGATAGTTCAGTTGAAGAATTAAATAAGAGCTGACTCCATAACCACGTCTGATTTCATACCACCAGTAACTGTGCCAGTAGTGATTGGTAATTAAATAGCCTTATGATGACTAATCATCATGCACTACCCTCCTGTTCCTAGGAAATCCAAGAGAGAGAGAGAGAGAGGGCAAGTTATTAACCTCTCTGCCTCAGTTACCTCATCTGTAAAATGGGGTTAATAATACTTACTTACCTCACGGGGAGGTGTGAGGACTTCTTAGTTAATATTTCTAATACACTTTTAACCTGGAAAAAAAAGTTGTGTAAGTATTATTATAATTTTTAATATTAAATCAGCTTATTCGATTCGCATGGTATTGCTGGATATACCATGTTGTTTCTACTTTTTTACAGAACTTTAGTAATTCTGCTGAAACCGTTTAAAGA